TTTTTTTTTTGAATCTGCAAATACATTTTCAATGTCAAGTAAACTGTAGAGGGAGACTTTTACACTCACCTCATACACAATTTGCTGCTTAAGCTTTCGTTTGAAACAATTTAAGTTTAAAAACGTAATCATCCAAGGGTATGTCAGGCTGTAATTTTGACTCCTGCTTGAACCACCTTTCTTTTACTTTTTACCTTTTACCTCCTACTATATTAAAATGAGGGTTTGAAAAGGTAAAGACTGTTCAACTATATCTTTAAGGTGGGGGCGGTTACTACGGAGGCGGAATTTATGGAAACGGAGCCTATGGAGGCTCACGCTATCCAGGTGGAGACTATCCAGGCGGGTACTATGGAAACGGAAATTACTATGGCGGATATTATGACCCTAGACACCAAGGATCTGGGAATCCATATGATTACCCATACAAATACGGCAATCCCTATGGGGATCAATATGGCCCAAACGGCTTGTTTAATAACAATTACGATCGGGCTTGGTATGCGATTAAAAGCAAGTCGCAGTTTCAATCCCAATGTCTGCATTTTTAGGGAAAGGACTTTCTGGGGTTATCGCAAGTAATCGAGGTCACAACTGCATTCATGAACAGCGGCTTCCCTGCTACTTATAAATCAATTACAATATCATCTAGTGCTTGAATTCGCAAATATGTACCACTCAAAACTTATTCATCATCGCTCATTATACCTCTCAAAAAATGAATTTGAGCTTATCTTTAATTACGAAGATAAAGTTAAACATAGAATTCTTCAAATAGATGAGCAAATAAGGAAAATTTAAACAGGATATCGACTCACACATGGTTTCAATCTTTACCTTTGTCGGGATTATATTGTCGTCATATACGCTTTTGATCCTTAAGAGTGAACAAAGAAGACAGGAATTGACTTTTCATCAAAGTTTGCTAAATATCAATTCTTACGCGTATATACGAATAGCTATGATAGAATGATATAGAGAATCGGCCGATCGGTTAAAGTGATTGAGTGGGATTTCAAGCAAACCAAAAACATCTTACTGTTCATCTTTACGCACTTGCGCATTAAAATTTTTATAAATATAATTGTTTTATGTTCTTCTAATTTTTGAGTGACTCTTGGCGCACCTAAGATGATTTCATCCTCAAAGGCCAAGGCATAGAAAAATGGAAAAATCTACCAATGAAATGATTTAAAGGTACAAGTGAATAGCATACTACAGTAGGATAGCGTTAGCTCATCGTAAGACGGGAAAGCGAGTGCGCGGACCCTTTTTATCCACGCTGGTAGGTTTTGCGATCTGTCCATACGGCCTGGATGTTTAATCACAGATTCATTGTTTGCATATAGCTGTAATCACCGGCCGCTTATAGAAGTACATGCTCCCAAAAAGCTGCGGTCGCGAATCCCTAAATTTACCACTTAATAGACTAACATCATTGAGGAGATTTTATAAAATTGCTTGCTACTGAACATTTTGTTTAACAGTTCTGATTTGCACGCCAAGGTACTGGGAGAAGGTGATATTCATCTATTACAAAGCACATATTCTATTGCAACTCCATAAACTATAATAATGCAGGTCATCTCTCCCATACAGCTAATATTAGTGATTACTTGTCCGCTGAAGGAAGTGGCAAATGTGGTTTAAAAAAGGTTTAAACGACATAGAATCATTAGGATTGATTTGTCGTTTAAACTTTTCTCACCAGATTCGCTTAAAGATTGAGCGCAGGTAAACCATTGCAACATATAGCCACGAATAAAAAGAGGTAGCTAC